TCAAAAAAGTAGGAACTCTCTTGAAGCGTGGTATTAGGTTGCTTTGAGAAAAATTTTGGTTACTTTTGACCCTCAAAGGGAATTTGTATGATTATCTGAGTTTACTGAGAACAGTGGATCAAAGATAATTCGATGAGTTTTCTACCTGTATCCCTACATCCTCATATAGTGATTATGCCCCGGCCATACTGACTAGGTAACAATCCCCTTCGACGAGGGGTACGAAAGTACGAGACGTCACACGAGCACATAATTGGACTCGCAACGAAAGACATATGTGACCAAGGGAAAGACATGCCAAAGCCGCACGCCAGTGCTTTGAAAGACACAAATATATCTTTTCTGGGAAAAAGAGTAGAAATGTTAGGGGCGCACTTTTAACTCAGTAGTAACGAAAAATTAGTTGTTGAATTTGGGAGCGAAGAGCTTTTTAGACCAAAGAGAGTCCTTCACAAGCTTTAGCCTAAGATATCATGATTACTTGCCTATGCTGAATTTTTGCATAATTTTCTTCGGATTTCTCAGTTCTCAGTAAACATTCCTCCACATGTGCAGAATGCACTCGTCCATCCTAAGCTGAAGTGCTTAACAGAACTAATTCTATTAATGTGGTGCCGTTGAATTGAAGATGTGACGCACATCGTCATAGCAACTCGCCGTAAATTTCACACACCTCCCTCACTTGCTGAGATGAAGGAGCTGTTTGCCAGCAAAAGTTGTGGCATGTAGAAGTTTTGTGCTCTGAATGCAATTTAGAGGATTGACGAGAACGTTGACAAAATAATTGAATAAAAATAATGGAAGGCTCACTGTTGGTCGTTGGTTGATTGGTTTCAAAAAAGCAACAGTTGAAAACCGACGAGCTTATCTTGCAAAAAATGATATCCAGACAGCCCAAATAAGGCTTTTTTTGATTTAAATAGTTTCCGCGTATGTCTGGAGTATTTCTACTCAGAAAATTTTTTGAGTAGAAAAAAAATTCCACTATGATTTTTGCTATCATAATGTTACCTCCAGACCAGTTGCGGACCGATAAGTGGAGGGACCCCCCCCCCCCTCCAAGAGAATGGGTCGCGAATTTTTTTACATGAGCTATAAAAATGCGCAAGAGACCTGTTTAACCTTGTAAGCAATTAAAATAACTTACAAAACTTTTCAAAAATTCAAATTAGCCTTGTAAAATTTCAAAGGGCGTGGCTGCCACCCATTGATGATGACAGCTCCACCCACCCAAAGGTAAAACAATATGAATGCAGTGTCTCTAATCTCGGTAATTCGCACACACTTCCACATAGATTGTAAACTGAAAAAGCATAAGTGTCAGCATAAGTGCTTTTAGCTCTAGTACAGAAGTGAAAATAAATCGAAAGTCAAACCAGGCTATGAAATAAGCCGTCCTAATTCTTGGAAAGATGATAACCAAAATGCTATCCACGCGAGTCTTTTTGCTTTTCCATATTTTTTGAAAATACTCTTATACATTACGAGTGCGTTTTTGCATAGCTGGCAAGGTGCGGAAAACCAGACACTCAAACTAAGATATCCTGTGAACAATCAACGATAGTACCCATGTAATCCAAAACTGGTCATAAATCAAGGATATCTCTTATAATTTTCAGTATTTATAGGATATCCCCATTGCTAAACTCATCTTCAAATTGATGGGACAGTAATCACGGCAAAAGGTATTTTTTCCACCCAATTCGTGTGCACAAAAAAGCTTGCAAGCGTTGGGTTTTAGACTCATTTGATCTTCGCTTTTTTTTGCAAAACTGTGAGTAGAAAGACTTTAGAGAAACCAGATCCCATGATCTTGAGCACATAAGTTTTACTTGAAGATAAGTTTCCCACAAGCTAATCAGAAATGAAATTCGTAGGTTATCCACCGACCGAAAACTATCAAATCAGTAAAAAGAGATTTTCGAAGGTTTGTTGTCCTTGCAGTATTCGCTCAAATAGAGTCTAGTGTGGATTATGTATAGCAATCGAAATGTTATTTCGGAGAGTCTCTGAACATGTCAAAAAATCTGACTTGAGCATGTTTGCAAAAAATCTCGTGTTATTTCCACATTTGTTCAATTTCCAAGACGTTTTCATGTATAGTATAGCGAGGCTCCCCAGGATAATCTTTGCATTGTTTGAAAATGCTAAGAGACAACCATAGGAAACTTCTAGAATATTTCAATAGACCTTCTTAGCTTGGTCTGCCGTATCAAGAGGCATTTTTAAGATAATATTGAGTGGATTCTTTGTAGAACATATATAAAGAGCACAACCCCGCTTCACAAATAATTCTTCAAAATTTATTCATTTTAGAGAAAGTTAGACTGGGAGAAAATAACGAAAAGATATCCCAAGCAATTTACACTTCACCGCTTATCGTAATCCCAAATTTAAGTCATTTTTTTTAAGATTCGAACGACTAACGCGAATTTCTTGACGGGATTATGAATGAGTCCCTTGGATCCTCTCACGTAATTGGTCAAGTCAAATCTGTCAGGGGTCATTCCTGCTAGCAAGCGCCTCATCACGCATTTCCTCAAGTGGGCTCTCCAGCCCCATCGGACGAAGGTCGTCTCTCAACCAGTTCCTTATACAGTCGTCGTCATCTCGACCAACTTAGTAGTGTGTGTGTATCGTATCGGCAACAAAGACTAGTTCAATAACACTTGTTCCATCTTAAACTGTCTGCTAGCTCGACAATACATTTATGGTTACTTACGCATAAAAATGGATGCAGAGTGATGAATTTTTGCTTTGCTACATCCTCGTCAAAATTTTTTTGCTCCTATTGATCAAAATTTCATCGCGTTCTCTCATTTTATTATGTTTTTCATGAATTTCGACTACATTTCATGATTTACTCAAGAATACATTCTCGACATAAAATAAGGCTTTACAATATTGATAAATAACAATGAAATTTTTCACTCCATGACAGAATTAACTAAACTTCGTTTCGTTCCTTCCCGTGCACGAAGTAAAAGATAAGACCTTTCCTGTAACTCCTCAGTAAGAAGAGATTTTACGGATGTCAAACGAGAGCTAGCATGTTGAGCAGTTGTCTCCTTTTTTTTCTTTTTTCATTTTACTTTACCATGGAAATCAGGTGTAATACAAAGATCACTAGCCTTAACCTATATTAGTCATCTCATCGTTGGATTGCGCTACCCCTACAAATACACAATTCGCTAAACAGTAGTTCGACGAGTGGAAACTAGCTTCAGACATCGCGACTGCTTTAACGGATAAAAATCTCATCATTATTCTTATGAAGTAGAGTCTTATTGTCAGAAACAAATTCTCGGGACAACCTCTGGGTAGATTTCATTTCTCGGTGTAACATGAAGTATTATATTAGGTCGTTTTCAAAAGTAATTTCGCTTTTTTCAAACGGGCACCACATTTGACGGAACAAAGCTTTCTAAGAGATCTTGGAGGCATTAGATGCAGAATTTTATTCTCTTTCCCAGGGTTATGAAATTGTTGCAAAAGTCGATGAACTTTCAGAAAATACCAAAATCTGCGACCCATGCTTTTTGAGATGGTCAAGTACGATTTTTTAAAACTTTCTATCAATCATCAGAAGGAGTTCAAGTAACGCCTTTATAGAGCAGACCCTACAGAATGCAAAACTACTTTTTTCTCGTTTCCATAGCTTGTCCTACATTTTTAACAGAATTTTAACTGATGCTACCGATTTCCATACTTGGGCAGCTAAATCCTCGTAGAACATCAAAAGAAGAGCAGTTCGCGCACTATTCGATGCAGCATTTTCTCCTCTTTCTAACAGGTGTTTTTTTGTTTCCGATTCGTTTAGTTTCCGGGGAAAAATCATCATATCTCTTTTCTTTAGCGAGCCCCAGGCTGTACCCGAAAAACTCGAAATGTGATATTTCGAACCCGTAAACTCTCATTTGCCTTATAAAATCAATATTAAGTCATATATCACTCTGAAAGCTTGAAACTCCGAGTAATTGCTGATGTTTGATGCGATTGTGGCTGAGGTAGGCCTGCCAAAATCCGGTGATTCTGTTAAAAAATCTTTTAAAAAATTACGGTGAGCTACGAGAAAGAGAAAAAAATAGTACTGTATTCTGTAAGGCTTACTCTATTAAATCTTTACTTGAGCTCCTTCTGAGGACTGATACAAAAGTTTTAAAAAATCGTGAAACTTGACCATCTCAAAAAGCATGTGTCGCAGATTTTGATTATTTTCTGCAAGATGATTGACTGTTTTGCAACAATTTCATAACCATTAGAAAGAGAATGAAATGCTGCATCGAATGCCTTAAAGTCCTCTTAGAAACTTTTGTTCCATCAAATGTGGCGCCCGTTTGAAAAAAGCGAAATTACTTTTGAATCGACCTAATATTTTCTTTTGTTTCAAAACAAATCCTTGCATCCTTTCCATTTTTTTGAGCTGAACACGATTCGAATTATTTTTTAGGTCTGAGTTACTGCATTGATGGGTATTTCGGTCTTGCTCCCTCTCTTTTGTTCAACTTTTAAGAAGGTCCATTACCGCTGTGAGAGCGTAAAAATTACATATAATGTCTAGAGATGTTTTCCATTTTTTCTTATAATTTGCTCTATCTTCATTTCTTTCTACTTCATATAACACATAGTATGATATATCATTTTTTGCACTTCTTTGAGCAATACGGATCAACTTTCGGTAAACTTTAGGAGGGTTGGGGAGGCTACGGATTTCATATATCTAGTGTCTAGAAACTTAGCCCTGAATGCTGACTTAGAAAGAGTTGTTGTATATTCCACAATCAGTACTTTCCGATTTGTGGCACATTGAGAAAAGAGACTTGATTGTATAAGGTGTGAAGGTTTTTTCAATTTAGAAAGCCATGTTTGCAAGAATGTCAGTTTCAAAGGCATCGTTACAACCTGTCTGTCTCCAAATAATCTAAAACAACTCCACTGTCAAATTTGATCACGAAAAATGTTGGATTTTATGACGGGCTATAGCATCTCTTTTTAGTAACATGCTGGCTTGGATTTGTGCACTTCTCGCTATAGGTCTCACGTCTGCACAGTTTGTAAGTTTCCTTCTTCACTTTTTCGAATGAGTGTTTTTTAAGACTTGTACTTCACATATTAAAAAAAGAATCATTGCTGAATTGTAAGTTACTGTTTCCTAACTTCCGTTCCATGAGTTTTTCGCCGTTGATGGGCAAGCTGCGTTGGAGGAACGGCTCAACTCATTGACAAGCCATGTTCAAGATTTAGACAAGCAAGTAGCAACTCTACAGAAGAAGGTTTGTTTCTGGTTCACTATTCCACAAACTTTTTTTTGGGGTGGGAGGGGGGGGGGGGAGGAGGAGGGAGGAGGGAGACTAAGGAGAAATTGCAGTGCCTTGTTTGATGTTGTTGTTTACCTCGAAGTTTTTTTTGTAAGATCGCAACACTGAAAGGAAAAAGGGGTGGTGAGGGTAAGTGAAGTTTTTTTTACCAAAGCTAATTGTTTTGAAAATTCAAAATTGCTATCAATTACGAAGGAACGGTTCAAAGTAGTAGCTTATGTGAGCAACCTTGAAGATTTTCGCAATTCATTTTGAGAGCGCTTTCCTCCGTTAATGGTACGATAATTTTTTTTTCAGTTTATAAAGACTTTCGAGTATAAGTTGCTGACTACGTTGACCTTAGAATTTTTGAATAGAAGCCAAAATTTACAGGTAGCAGGTTTGGCACAAGCTGCTCATAGTGAATGGAATTCTACTGATAGTGGATCACTCTATAGGGTGTTCGAAGAGCGAAGGTCATGGTCCGATGCTGAGGTACCGATCGTGAACTTATTGATTTTTTGAATCATTTGACGCATACAAAATTCATAGAACTGGAAAACGAACATAAAAGCTTTCCAGCCTCTGTTCTGATTTGATCACTGATTTCAGAATTTTTTCGTTTCAGAATCTTTGCCAGACCTTCGATGCTCACCTTGCTGTTATCGACAATGAAACTAAAAATAACTTTGTCAAAGGTATAGGCGATTCATCGCACGCAAGGACAGGGCTTTGCTGCGGAAGCGTCTGCGTATTCTAAATCAAATGCGCTTTCATGCCTCTAACCGTCTGCTGTCTCTCCCAAACACGTGCTATCTCAATCGAACTCAACGGGGTCCAGTCTCTGCGTGCGATGATTTGCCTATATATTTTGCTACAGAACTCTTTTAAGACTTACAAAAAAACATTTTTCTCCAGGGCTGATCAACGAAAAGCCAACTGTCGACTACGTTTGGATCGGCATGAAGACAAAGAGTACTTCACCATCTTCGCAGAATACCTTCACGAATTTTGATAAGGAAAATCCTATCAGTGGTTGTGCAGGCGAGAATTTACCAAACACTGATAGAAAACTACCAGCTCATACAAGTTTTCTTTTTAGTTATGGATCACTCTGGTGTATGGTCGATTCGTTCTTGTGAACAATTGCGTCCTTTCGTGTGTCAAATGGTTGTGCTGAGAAGATAAACAACCGCTGAGACTACCGACTTATTACTCATTATCCGTTGAATGTTTATTTTCATGCAAATAAAAATGTACAAAGGTGATCTACACTTTTTTGATCAGTTGTGGCCAAGAAAAATGATAATTTCAATACAAAGGTCATAGCAGAATTAAAAAATTCTATCTCTGCCAAAAAGTGAATAGTTTGGAATATCAGCCGCGTATAGCCGATATAATCAAAAGGTGAAGTATAGCTAGTAAAAAATGCTTTAATGCTGCTGCTAAAAATGCTCTTTAAAATGCTTTAATCTAACTTTTCTTTTGAATACATACTTGACAGAGACGCAAAATTTTATCTGATAAATAAATGGGACTTGGTAAACATCGTACGATTTCTTCTTTGTTATCAAGCATATGAGCACCAGAGGATAGATAAAATGGTTCTGAAGTGATGTGTTAGTAACGATCAATCAATCAATTTCGAGCGAGGAACTGAATAGCCGTGATGTGGAAAGTTACGATGGAATAAGACCGCAGGCAGCATCCACCCAAATCTTCGTCTTCCATGTTTTTGTCATTCTGGAGCCTTTCCGTGGTCATAATCCAGAGCATGAGATGTGGAAAACCTCAAAAAACCCGATTTCTAGGAGCCTCATCCTGAAGGCACGTACGACTTTGGCTGCGTTCATAATGATCCCGAAGTTCGGGAACAATTCCAGCACAGCGCTCGAACTGAACGCTGTGCTGGAATTGTTCCCGAACTTCGGGATCAGTACGAACGCAGCCTTTGAGTACCTGGGCAGACGGAGGGTGATAGGACGGGCGTGGCTTGATAGGACCGCTGAGACTAATTTCGCGGTTTCTGTGCTCATTTTCTCATATTCTCCCATATTAGGAGATCAGACCAACGCAGATGTCCTGACCCTAAGACCTTCCAGCCTTCCTAGGGACTAGTTACTAATCGGAGTATAAATTTTGCCTGTACGCTGCCTTCACTTGGAACGCTTGTCGAAAGCATAATTTGTGCAGAATACCGCGCTCGTCTATTTGACAAAATTTGGTGCCATCGGTTGATTAAAGTCATATTGCTGTTGGAAAAGTGGGGGGGGGGGGAGTAAGAGGGCTTCAATGTTCGGAGAATGTCGAAAAATTGTAGTTTCAGAGTTTATCCTACTTCCAGGTATTTTATCACTCATTATCAGTATTAAAATTCTATGATAATGAGTGGTATTAGGTTGTCCGGAAATTAATGACCGTTTTGAATTTCAACCGCAATAAGTCAAACACTTCTCACTTCTAAATAGGTTGCAGGGTACCATTCGATAGAGCAAAGCAAGCTCTACAAGATGTTTTCCTTGCTTTTGCAACGGCTCTTATTCACCTCGAGTTTTAAGGTGAAAATTAAAAAGACTCAGCTGCCCGAAAAACCGAGAAAAATCGTAACGCAGTTCATAAAATTCCTACTAAAATTCTTACTTGCTCACGTAAACACTATCCACATAAGACATCTATATACGCCTTCGCCGCATTTTTCCCTCTGTTAGAAACTAAGAAAACGAAAATTTTCGTGCATTTGCCAAAGTGATGCTGTGCCGTCCCCACATAGGTAATTGTATACCACAAGCCTGTAGAAGTACAGACTTGAATTTTCAGCTCTCTACAAGCTTTAGTTCTCAAGAAATACCGAATATAGCTTTTCCTAGTTAGGTGGTCCAAGCTAAAATTCAAATTTCTCAAAAACTAAAGCCTGTAGAGAGTTGAGAATTTACGTTTATACTTCTACAGGTTTGTAGTAAACAGCTACCTATGTGAGGACGGCACAGTATCACTTTGGTAAATGCACGAAAATTCCCGTTTTCCTGATTTCTAACCGAGGAAAAAATACGGCAAGGGCGTATATAGATGTTTTATGTGGATAATGTTTACGTGAGCAAGTAAGAATTTTTGTAGGATTTTTATGGAGTGAGTTACGATTTTTTTCGATTTTCGGGCTGCTGAGTCTTTCTAGTTTTTGGCTCGAAACTCGAGTTGGATGAGAGCTGTTGCAAAAGCAAAATGATCATTTTATAGAGCTTGCTTTGCTCTATCGAATGGTACTTTGAACCTATTTAGAAGTGAGAAGTGTACCACTTATTGCGGTTGAAATTCAAAACGGCCATTAATTTCCGGAGAACCTAATACCTGGATGTAGGATTTACCTCAAGGTGTCAATGATGAATACGGCCTCAGGAGTGCTAAAGGGGTGTAGCGCGTGTGACCAGCTAGCCAATTGCCAATCGAGTGGGCGTGTTGTCCCCATCTCTCTGAGCGGCGATTCATCGATTGTGCGCCCCACCACTGCGTTCAATAATGCAAAATTTTGGTATTTTTACAAGATCTGATTGAACTCTCAACTTAGAAATTCAAAGGAATTGCGTACGATAAAACATCCACACCCAATTTTGGAACAGTGAATCCAATCTAGTTTGGCCTTTAGTTCAGGCGATTTCATCGCTTTGCGATTCAACCGACAAAACAACTGTTACGAATCCGCATGTCGATCACCTGGCACCTCATTTTTGAGTTATTCATGATTAAACGGTCGGAAACTACCACGACCCAATGAAGGAGGATAGGCACGCAGTGGACTCGTAACAGTTGTCTTGTCGGTAGAATCGCGATGAAATCGCGTGAACTATGCCCAAAGCCTTGAGGCAGTTAGACCAGCCGCTGTATGATCTTCTCGAAGTGGCATAAATTTTTGAATGTTATCATTAGAACCAGTGCGTCACCTCTGCTTCGCAGAGGCTCGCACTGGTCTTACTTTATATGGTTTACTTGTTCTCGACTAATGATGTCTTTGAAACTCACCGTGCAATGACGACTACCATGAATGAAATGTAAACAACTACTCATTTCAAAGGGTTTTTCATGTGAGATCGGTAATTTCGCGTGGATGGAACTTTTCGCAGAAGAACAAATGCAAATTCGATTAAACTTCTTTTGGCTTGGTAGTCGCCATAAGGACAACAATCACCGTGAGCTACATTTCTATGTAAAAATCCTCTCAAATGGTCAGGTAAAGCCACGGCGGATTGACCATTTGCGCAACCATTTCTTTTTGGCGTCGTTCTGGTATAATAGTAAACCTTTGGTCACTTTTCCGCCTAAAGTCCATGTCTTGCACATCAACATGCCGAACTCATCCACGACTTTGCAAAAAAGCGTTGATACAGACCCAATTTTGCGGGCCAGAAGCCAAGTGGATCCGTCTGACTCGCAAATTCTGATGGATCCACCCAACGAATCTGCTCGTGATTTTGTACGGTGGAGTTCTACGTTTTGTACGGTAGCATGCGCTGTGCAAAATTTGGGCTCAGGACATCGGCTGGAACTCGCTCTATGAATTTCGTTACAGACAGACGGACACACACACACACAAAGTCACGTAAACACCCTTAGCCCGTTATTATAAGTTATGATACTACAGACATCTCTTCAAACATAAACAGATGGATGATATGCTTTACAAACCATTTCAGGAAATTTCAATTGTTTAGCGGTCGGCATCGTTACTTACCACGAGTTTTGTCCGATGCAGATTTTACGGAAGGTAGGCGATTGCAGATTTGTTACAAATAATGAGCATTGACATATAAATGAGTGGATCTGAAAGCTACTCATACAAACACATCTTTTACAACCGCATGCTGAATTCCAGACGGAAATTTTTTATCTAGAATTTTGGGAGATCATAGATGCGCCAATCTTCCTGTAACTTTCGAAATATTCCTTTTAGAGATTGGTGTTGTTCCTCACGTTCACGATGTGTTTTATGAGTAAAGGTATGTATTTCTGAGCGCGGTCAAGCTGCAATAATTATCAGTCAAATTTTAGTACGAGCATATCCTCCAGTAAATGAGAATAGACCATATGATAGTACAAGTTCGTGTAAGTGAGACACGCTTTACGTGCTTAGCAAGGCATGAAAATTTCCAGCCTGCTTTTTCCGAGGAAAATTGTCATTATACAGCAATATTTTCAATATCAATGACTATGCTTGCAGAAAATTTTATGGTAGACTTGAAGTAGATAAAGATACAAAAAACATCGATTTGCAGGTATTATTTCATTCAAGAAAGTTACACATGGTAAAAAATCAAGTAATCGTGACCTTTAGCAAATTAATGAAATTGAGGGATGTATTTTGATAATGAAAACACGCATCAAGAAGCTTGATTTACGCCAAATCAAAGTAATCAGACCAAATCGCGAATATTGTGGTAAAGACTATAAGTAGCAATACGCTCATCACCAAACAAAAAGACTTATTCCAGATTATAATTATGCACTGATAATTTTCAGCAACAAAAATCTCAGTAAAATTTTCTTCAGTAACAAGCTTATTGCTCAACCTAAGGTAAGCTGCTTTTCAAGAAAAAAAAATGTAGCCTGTTATGCAAAGTAGAAAGGATGGACGTTGGAAAGCTCCTACTTGGGCAGTGGATTTCCAAAATTTGATGGGCATTAGAACTCTGTAAATAGCTGATATATGCCCAGTAACAGACTATACAGACTACACTGAAAGCATCTGAGGTGCATACACTGAGAGCGTTTCACAAGTGGAGCGCAATGAACTCTGATCGCTTCGACTGTGTCCCAGTTCTGCCCGTGCCAGCGCTGTGCCGGAAAGTCGATCGATCAATACACATACTGCGCACATGGTTTCCGGCACGGAGTTGGCATGGCACTGGCAGAGCTCCACTACACTGTACGCAGCCTTTATGAGATAGAGAATAGGCTGTTAATTGTTTAAGAGGTAAAGTCTTGGCTGGGACCTGCAAATTACCGGGAATGCCACGAGCATTCCATACGGGTTTTCTCATACCCCTGAGACGTAAGAAAGCTGTTCTTCCCAAATTCTTTCATACACCTGCGCCATTCTCTTGATCACCATAATTGTATAAGAGAGGCTAAACAGGCATGACGAAACTTCTAAGATGCTGTCAATGTTTCAGGACTTCTTTGTTAGAATGAATCCAAAACTAATGCCTAAGAACATCTTTAATGCGCCATATGCCATTAGCCTCGGAAATAAAACAGGTTTGCAAATTTACTGAAGTTGAGTTGCTTTATTCAAATAAATTCTTATCCGACAACTTACTCGAAGAAAACATTGTTCCACGTTAGGCTGTATCTAGAGCTGCCAGCCTTGTGTTACCTCCGTTCTAGATCCGTGTCAACGCTGTGGCAGCGCTTTGAAGAGTGCCGATACCCCACTGGCGTACCGTATTGATCAACCGAATTCCAACACACTTGGCACAGGAGCTGCATCGTTTTTGAACAGAACTGACCAGCACGGGCACGGACTCGACGCAGCCTCAGCATAGGACCTAACAACTCTGCCTATTCCCAAAATCTTATGTTTTCAAATCAGGATTTTACAGATTGTCTCATCCATGAAGCAAGAAGAAGCAAAAGTTGTAGCAAAATAATAGGAGATGTCGATTTTAAGAGTTTACCATCAAACATATGGACTCAAGTGCATGAAGTGGAAGGAACTTTGCGCATAGAAAATACTAAGCTCACGAATTTAGATGCCATCAGAGGTTTGAAGATTATTGGATGGAAAGGTTTGCTTGCGAATTGCTCTAGCAAAAATCTTGGTATTTTTCTTCTTTTTTAGTGCCGGCTCTGATTATCAAGAATAATCTAAAATTGAATGATATAAGTGCATTACTGTCAATCTCAATCAAGTCTAAAAAACCTGAAATCGAGATTGAAAACAATCCTAGTATTTGTCACAACATAACAGATCAACAAAAATTAAAGAAATGGTTACTATTGCGTAAAGCTTCAGTCAAATTCAACTCATCTTGTTGTAAGTTTTCGTGCTCAGTTCGTATAGATACAAGGCCGCTCACGAAATGTGCAAAATTTTCTATAAATGTCGCGGAATTCTGAAATTATTCTGCGGAAGTCCGCGACGTTCCCGGAATTCCGCTACATTCACGGAAATTTTGCACATTCTGTGAGCGTATTGTACGTGTATCAGAACAAATCTCACATCTTATTAGTGTTCTACATATGAGATTAGGTCGACGCGACTATTCTGTCGTTCCAGTTTTGAATATTCGTATCTTTTTGTTATTTCGGATTTGCGTGATTTCAATCGCAGAAAATTCCTTGACTTTGTATAGGCCATCCGCGCAGGGCGTGGAGAGTGAGCAAGGTCTCACTGCGCGACACTCCTCTTTCCTTGTGCACTCTCTCTGCTTGTTTTCTCTGCGCCTCTTCCAGTCATGAACTATCTTCGATGGACGCAACTGCCTGCTCTTTGAGCACGGCGCGGACGGCCTATACGTCTTTAGCGCGTTTGTACCGTCAAAAGGGCCGGGCATACTTCACGCGATTTCAGTCGCGAAGCGATTTGGCAATTCGCCAGAAGTCTTCAGATCCAACACTAGCAAACTGCACATGCACAGTATGTATAACTTACATGAATTATAAAATGCCCTATCTTTTGTACATTCAAAATGTGCTTGCAATGAATTATGGGCAGTTAGAATATCGCCAAATCGCTTCGCGACTGAAATCGTGTGAAGTATGCCCGGCCCTAAAAAAAAGAGGAAAAGCGAGACTTCTCAGCCCGAATCAAAATATCTGAAACTTTGAAAAATATAAGAAATCAGTAGTGCTTATGTTTTGAACTTTTTTTGAACCCCGTGAGTTCTGACCTCTTAATAAACAGTACAAAACACTTTTTCCCGACATTTGTAGTTTTCTTAATTGCAAACGTTACGTCTGAATTTTTTGAATTTTTCAAAGAATTTTGGTATTGAAAATGTTAGCAAGCAATCATATCCTCGTGCTTATTTCTTCTTTTCACAAATGAAATTCGCTATGGAAGTCATTAAAAAGTCAGAAATTTCCTCCTACTGAGAGTTCTCTGAAGCAGATTAGAGGGAGTAGTTACAGATACTCAAGATGAAAATTTTGTGCCAACCTCCTTGAAAGATCACATAATATGTGAGCGCTCAAATCTGCTCCTGCTTTCAGAAATCACCTCCGACATGCTTCATCGGTAATCTACACTCAACCACTTAGCTTGTTGACGATGATTATAGGAATAAAGGTATTCAACTAGAGCTTATGTTGTTTGACAGCTCAAATCCTTGACTATATTTACGTCGCAAAACCAGTATTTGTGAAGCTTTTGAATAATGGATCAAAATTCTCTCGGCATGGTCCGCTCTTAGGTGGGCATCCACCGAAGTCGAAGGAGAAGACGTCAAAGTATTTCATATCTTGAAAGACCCTGGCAGAGTATACAGACAGCTCTGCATTGCAAAGTGACACTCGTTGTATGCCGATGCACGTCCATTTTTTTAATTGTTATTATTCAATGTACACTCTAGGCGCGCCAAAAGCAGCGACAAAAGTACTCAGTTACTTACAATACCTCTATTACACTCCCACTCCTTACTCTTGCTGCAGAATGTATTCATTGAAACAGAGATGAGAGCAGCTTGAATGACAGAGGCCGAGTTTAACAACTCGTTGTGCAGATGATTGGTTAATTAGCATCAAGGAGGCTTTTAAAAGCGATATAATTTTCGAGGGCGTCCAAGACTTTTCCTAAAATCGCATCGAACCAATCGCAGACGTTTTGGACAGCCCGGAAAAGTGGCAGTGGCATTCCCCAATGCCAATCATCTGACCTCCCTTGACCAAAGAAATTTTTCCCCAACACCTAGGCCATTATTCGCTGTTTGTTTGTTCTGGTGAAAGGTAACAGGCTAGTCTCTTACTCTAGCAATGTTTCGTCACCCATACAGACTTTGGCACACGTTTACGTTCATTGACAATGCATTTCAATTGACCTCTTTTCTGACCATAAACAAGTTGCAATTGTGCAAAGAGTCGCGCGCAAAATTTCTGGACAACCTTCACTTTTTATTGGGAACAGAATTTCAAACATCCTTCACTTTTGAGGCTTTGTCGATCTCTACGCTATCGAAATGCCTGCAGTTCAACAAGCAGAAGAATCAAAATTCAGCATTTGGTTTAAAAAAGAATACGTGGTATAGTGTGGACCACGGCCAGCTTCCCGTAGGTATCTGCGCGACGCATCCGCAACGCACGCCTTCAGCGCGCCTCCTGTCGATGAAATTCCTTGTTTTCTCTCATTTTCTTGTTTTTGTTTTATTATATTTCCTCTATTTCAGGTATAAACGATTCGCATAACCGGTGAGAGGTTTCACCGGATATATGAGTTGCTGTACTAGGCCTGAGAGCTTCGGTCTTGAGTACTGGTCTTCTGTTTTCCCTTCTTTTTCTGAGAGTTTGAGATTTGAGGTGCATTCTAGGAGAAATCCATCCAAAAGCTTTTTGTACTAAGTAAGAATCCCTCTCGACTTGATTTTTAGAGCGTAGACAGTTATCAAGTCAAATTAAGCCTTTCGAGAAGCCGGTAGGGATTTGTTTACGGAGATATCCACATTTTTTTGAGTTATTTTACCATTTTAGTTTCTAAGTTTACGAAGAGAAACGTTTTGAGAATGCGGTTGATCTCCTTCTGCTCTACGTTTACTTATTACCGCTTTTCCATCGGTGCAAGTCTGAAATTTGCAGCCATTGATTGAATTCGAGGTACTAATGGAGGTTGCGTGCGTTTTATTCTTGTGTATACGTTTCTTTCGAAGTGTATTTACGGGTTACCACTTCTCAATTCTCTTCTGCGGTGCGTAGATGTGCTCTATTGCTCATAAGTGAGGTGAGAAGCATCAAGAAATGCACGCGCTGCGGTTGCGCCGCGGAGGTACCTATGGGAAACTGGCCGGGGTCCACACTATAGGTGGAAGCGTGATAGGCAATAAGTAGAACACATGCAAAGGTTAGTAATCAAGCAGAAGAAAAATATCAAACGAAATACTAGTTAAAAATATATCAACAATCTTATCATGAACGGCCAGAGCGACTTGATAGAAGAAAAGTATGACAAGCAAAAGGAGACAAAACTTAGCAGCTTTTGATTCTTCAATTTTGCTACGAGTCCATCTTCTTTTTTGTGAGAATGAATTCGCGCTGTGCTGATAAAACGGAGAGAAGCACCTCGTTAAATTATCTAATTATCCTTTAGAAAAATGTTGAATATCAAAAGGAAGCTTTCTTCAATTTATTGATTTCAACTCGGGAATAGTGAATCCCACCCATCCTACGAGCTGATCTGGAAATTCAGTATTTGCTAGCATCTAGTCTGAGTTACTTGGTGACGGAAATGAGTTTAAGATAAATCCTTTTGTATTCAATACTTTTCATTGCCAGAGATATGGAAATGAGATTGAGCATTTTTGTGTGCGACTCTCTGGGCAAGATCTAAGCGCGGCTCCTCGATTACTGAACTTCATCAGTTTCCGTGAACTTCTGAAACTCACTCTTTTGAAAAAGTTACGTGAAAAATGTTGCTCTTGATTCTGGGGAAACTTTCAAAAAAAACCTTCTTTTCAGCGTCAAAAAGCCTATACTATTCTCAAAATATTCACATTCATTCCTACCTATTAGTTAAGACATGATCATAATATGGGGGCCTTGCCCAGGCGAAGGTTATATTTTACCATCGCTCATAGTAAAGGTTACCAGACAGTGGCGGACCGAGGGGAGGGGCGGAGGGCCCCCCCCCTGAGAATGGGTCGCGAAATTTTTGGTACTTATCTATATTGGCTATGAAAATGTGCAAACGGCTTGTTCATTTAAATAAATAATAATTAAAAATAATAATTAAAATTATAATTATTAATTATTTTAATAATTAAAATAATTTCGAAATTTATAAAAATTCAAATTAGCTTTATGCAAAATTTTCGGGGACGTGGCTGACGCCACGCACCTTCATTTGAAAAAATTTTTCGTCGCGCCCCTCCCCCCGGTGCGAAATCCTGGGACCGCCACTGTCATCAGAGTACATGGCTCCATGTATCGAGGTTATGCACATGTCTACACGCATTTCTTGTTTTAAGCTAGATTCCAATAGGAACGGAATCTGCAAGATTGATGGGTGGGGGGTAGTTTGTGGAACACCGTCATATTTTCCATCAATCAATATGTTTTTCTGCATATTTGCTAATCGTTTGGCAAGTGGATCTGCAGGATTTCTTGGGTCTGAATCTTCTAGATCATTCCTCGTGCGCATCTGTCTCCCGTCGGTTTAGGACTGGCTGGCATTGATTCTGTTGTTTCCTTTTCTTTCACGGTACACCTTGATTGCTCAAGAGTAAAGTAAACGCGTTGAGAGGTTTCTGTTTCTTTATGTGACATTGCAGGAGAGCTGGAGGGAGCTTACTCTTGCACTGACTTGTCACTTGTACATATTTGGTTTGTAAATCTATCATCGTTGTTCTCCCATCTTAAGGTATATCAGTTTCCTTCCCTACAATTTGTTCAAGTTTGTGCAGATGATTCAACGCCGACGCTGGCCAGATGCCACCAAGTAGAGAAGGAGGAGCCACTTTGAGAGAGTGAGGAACGTCCATGGACCGAGTCATCCCGCTTTCGACACAAATTCACTTATCCTTACTGTGTTTTTGTCACTTGTATTCCCAAGTTTTCTTGTTGGAATTTTGTTGTAGTGATTGGTATAAATGTGAGTATTAAAAAGATGTTTCTTGAGGATATGTCCGAGGCTGCAAGTAGTTAAGATGTTACCCACCATTAAAGAGGGAGGCAGATAAACCATTAGTAACGCTTCGCGGAAATTTCGCGCAGACTGGTCACGCCCCCTCCCCTCCCCTCCCCTCCCGCTCCTCCTACGTCATCTACTAGCGCCTCAGTGCAGTAACTCATCTATCATTTGAGATAATGCTACAGTTTGCCCGCCAACTTTTAATGAAACAACATCACTTAGACGACTGACAAAACTAAATCAAAGCTCATGCTGCACATTTGTAGCTGCACATTACAAACTGAAGCAGCCACTGTATTCGAACGGCGATACCAACAGCAAAGACAGCTTGATGATCTACACTTCACAAATATAACCCTAAAACATAAAAAAGAGTATGTGGTAAGGTTTGCTTATGATGCAACAAAAAAGCGTAGAATGTTCCGCAACAAATTTGGTAGTTCACCGCTACACGTTCGCTCATCACAACAGTTAATGGTGTTGTTTTCAGTGGTCACACAGCAGGTAATGGTGTTCTTTTCCGTGGTCAACGTGCCTTCATCACGTCATTGTCTTTCGCGAATGGAAAGTCTCATGAAGGAACGTGTGAACGTATATGCTGCATGCAATGCGTCTATAATCGCCGAACTATTTATTCTCGCAACTGTCGCGTCCTTCTTAAACTCGCGGTGATAGTTTATGATTTTTCCTGTGCTATATTAAGTATTTTGAATATCTCAGTTTTTCTGCAACATAATTTCTCTCTTTTCCATCATTTAATGAGGTAGAAAATTAGCTTAAATTAAAAACGTTATTTGACGTCTCTCAGGGAAAAATTTCACGGCAAAGGATTACTTTGCTGAAACATTTTACAGTGTTCCCTTTCGGTTAGTTGCTTATGACTATTCGAAACATGTTTGTAGATTAAAGCATTTTTTTACGGCTAGTACTTTAGCCCAAACCTCGTCGGCGCTCAAAAAGTTGTGTGCACAAGTGAGCCACTTTCTAGACATCTGGATCACAATTTGAAGCTTAGCTTAATCATTTCTACCTGCTGACGCACTTTATCCCGAAGCTTTAGGCTTTGTCGAAGTTTTGCACTAGTGCAACAAAACAGAGTACAGGTCAAACAAGAACGTGGATGACCTCTATCATCTGAGAAGGCTGCGTTCAAAACCATACGATGAAAGAGGTAAGCAGAGAGTTGCAAAGATAGACACCTGCTAAACTATCTCCACGCCTACCTTTTAAGCAGCAAGAGTGGAAATGTTGTAGGAAAAATTTTGGGTTTTCGTACATAGCGTCTTCCCCATTGTTATCAGATGGGACAGAAAAAGTGTGCAAAAATTTTCCAGCGGTAGCCTGCGTTAGGTTCGCAACCGCTGCTATAAACTTGACTACTTTTTGAACCAGAGTCTTCACCGTCCGTCTTTATTTGAACTCTTTACAGTCAAGTCATTTTTTTCGCTGAGACTACCCAAAGATCTTGTCGGAAAAGTTCAAGGTCTAAACTGAAAGAGGTTTATCTGCGGGGGATCCTCTATGTCAGATTTTTGAGTATCATTTCGATTGGAGGAAAAAAGGAAGTTTGCTGTAAATTCACATGATTCAGCTATGACACGCACACTCACGCGCTATAACTTTGGGTACATATCAAGCAACTGGTGTTTCACGTTGAAAATGTACCCCTTTACAAGACTCACGCTAAGCAGAATATTAATAAAGTTAAAAAGATTCTCGCAGAATCTCTGTCTGTAGACACAATTATGTGGAGGGAAATGGATAGTGCGTTTCATTTTTTTTGTTTGGCATTTTCTAAGATCAATGTTCTGTTTTATTCGAACCTAATAGGTTTGTGGGACACATTAGTTATGAAACAGATGAATTGGCAAATGGATTGTGCGTTTTATTTTTTGGGTTGGCATTTCCTAAGATCAATGTTCTGTTTTGTTTGAGCCTAACAGGTTTGTTCTGCAACACATTGATTATGAAACATGGACATATATGATTTTAGACATACAAATAAGACAATTTCCCACCAAATACTTGGTACCATCCAAACATTGTTTTTACCTTGTACCCTAATTTCACGAGTAAAGGATGCACCTTTTTCGATTATTCAAGCGAGCCCAGCTGCGTCGCTGTATTTTGGAATCGAGTCTTAGGAAGCCTCCAATCCACGTCGGTTGCCGCTATTGCAGCCGGTAGAAGCTTTCGCGCTGGTTGCCGCTTTTGCAGCGGGAGCGCATTGGGTCAGATTTCCTTCGTGTGTGCGTAGCGCGGACATATTCGCAGTAATGAAAACAAAGGTTTTGTACTCTTTTGATAGGAAGCTACTACACTATGCTGTATGGAGGATGTTCTACAGGCCAAAGTCTCTTTTGTCTACTTAAGGTTCCTAGCTATATCTTTGCAAAACGGATTCTATCACACAGTTTTTGTAAATTGGATGTTTCTGTTATGCTGATTGTACGATGGACGAGCCCCAAGACGAAAAAGACAACAAAATGACTCCGCTTTTGGAAGAAACCGTTCATTCAGCATATGAAGTAGAACCAAAGGCAAGTACATCAGAATCTCAGAATTCCACAACGACATCGCTCCTATAGCATAGTGAAAAAGCTTTAAATATAGGTCTTTTATAAAATTCGACGACGTTGACTGCGGTCTTTGCATCTAGGAGCAGGAACACTCGTACAAGAAGGCATTACCTCAAGGCTCAGAGCAGTCACTTCCAGTGTCAATGCTATTATATGTAGGCAGAAGAAGCATTCGAGTAAAACAGAAATCAAGAGAATGCGCCTGCCGGAAGTGCGTGAGGGTCGCACGCGGTCGCGCCATTGTCACGATTTTTCGAATGCCTTATACAAAGAAAGTACAAAAGACATCGTTTCAAAACGATATTGCTTACCCACCTAGCAATATGGTCAAAATGAAATCTAAACAGTAGCACAGTGAAGTCCAAAAAACCTCGTTTTCTATCGAAAGCGGCCAATTAGCAAAAAGAGCAACCTAGAAATGGAAATTGGAAAGGAACTCCGTTTAACAATATTCGCTCATTTTGGCATAGCATAAACGAATACCTCCGCAATAGGAGAAGAAAGTCTTCTTCGGACAACCACCCAATCACTTAGCATCGAAGAACAGCGAAAGTACGGAAGCCGGATCAGAACCACATCAGCAACAGAATTATTTACGGGTAGGGGAACGAACTCCTTCAATTTGAACCGCCTCCGCGGACTACTGGTCCCGCAACCATATGCAACAGTATGACAAGAGGATCAGTTGCCATCGAAGGCGGGTTGAAACTGGCGTAGTTCGTTCCCCTACCCATTATTTACTTGTAAATAGAAGAAATTTGAACGACAATACCGAGAAAAATGAAAAGAATCTCTGCGAATACCCCACCAGTGCGAATAAGCCCTGCTACTGCCCCATGGACAAAATCTGATTCAGTGCACTTCGCTGCAAACGCAGCAACCGGCGCGAAAGCGGCTATCGGTTGCAATGGCGGCAACCGGTGCGGCCTGAAGGCTCCCTTATGCCGCACGATACTCTCAGGCAATATTCAGCGCTGTGTGTAGTTTTTGAACACGAAGTCCTTCGGCGTGTCTGTGCTTTTCAGTTTTGAAAAATAATTGCCCCCTATACTTGTGAAATGGTAACATTCAACTATCATGATTGCGGATAAGCATACTTGTTGAAAATCTTCTTACGAAGTTTTGGCGAGGAGCGTAAGGAAATCACTTTTCGATCTTTTACAAGTGATGACAAATGAGCGGTCAAGAAACTTGAAGACTTAGATAGTGTGGGTTATATCCAGGGTCAAGCAAGGGGTGTGGCACACGATCGCGGGTTACGACACCCCCCCCCCCCCCTGATTGCTGTCTTAATAAGATCCCCCCCCCTATATACCTAAGATAGCATTACCTGAAGACCCTGTCAAACATAACGGGCACATATCCATAATGAGCATGTCACGTCAATCAACCCCTGTAGACAAAGTTTGAGCAAATTCTGAAGATTCAAGATACTAGGCTACCCAAGTGAAATGGTCATTTTCCAACATGATTAACTTTGTTTCAAAGTTGAATTAACTATCCGTTTTTGCACTCAAGACAAAGCACTATTCCTTCTTTGTCCATCTCAGAAATCCCGCTCCAAAAGACCTCCAAACTGTGAAATTAGAGGTCACCCAAAAAGCACGTTTTCCCCATTTTCCGCTTTTGATGGCTGTGCTTTCACCAACTATTACTCAGAGAAAACGAATCAGGCTCAAATCACTCCTATGAAAAGTAGGAGATCTAGGCTATCGATCCACATGGATATGGCTTGCTAAAAATGTTTTTTGTTATAGTTAATGGGGTGTGGCATACCCCCTTAAAAGATATGGCTGCCACAGCTTTTAAGAGGGTGTGCCACATCAACATCTCTGCTAGGGAGGGGATCGCAGCTTAAAAGAAAGCTTCGTATCCTGAGACTTTAAGTAAGTGGATTTCATGTTGTTTACCTGTCCGTAAGTATTCCTACTATCCTTCGCTAGAAATGTACTGATGTGAAGGTTAATTGACATGCTAATTATGGATATGATACGAATGTTGCGAGAAGCTATACGAGCCGCATTTTTCAGCTTTCTGTGTGATCCCCTAATGATCCTGGGCGGCCGACCAGCTTTGCTTCATAGCCACTTTTCTTCATCAAAGTCAACGAAATACCCCAAAGTTGTGTAAATAGCTCCAAAACAGCGCTAAATGTTGTTGATAAGAACAAATCTCGAAATATCGAGATTCAATAAACTCAACTTTCGACTAGTGGTTCATCGCAAATTCCATGAAACATGCTTAGCACTGTTTGGATAATAAGCATAACTTTGGCAAATCCATTACAGCTGATAAAAGAAACTTGACTACGAAGAAAAGACGGTCACCGAGATCATCACGGAGATCACACAAAAAGCTGAAGAATGGGCTTGTACAGCTTCTCGCTCCGAGTGGAGGACACTAGGTCGCCAAAAGTGAGGAGGTCCCGCGCGGACAATGCAGCAGATACTCAGCCTGTGCATGCATTAGAATGTGCATTTGTTGTAGATGTTCGGCGGGACCTCCTACTTCCGGCGACCTAATGTCCTCCACCCGTTCATAGTGAAGGGTAGCAGGAATAGTTTGAGTGGGCAAGCGTGAGATGATATCTTGAGCTTCAGGTTTATATTGGGGATTTCCAATCAATTTCATCAGTTTGTAAGTGTTGTACACTCTATGCATTCGTAAGCTGAAATCCAAGATTTGCGGGCAGAATTACTGAATTCGTGTACATTATGCCGTTGGGCCAGTACTCTTACTCAGATACTTAGATGGCCCGTCTGCACGTGCGGGACCCATCACGGAAGTTGCAGTGCTCTTTCCATCGTTTCAGGCATCCCATCTTCTTAATTGTCATCGCGGTGGCTAGGTCCACGAATTCCAGTGAAGAAAATCGTATCGAGCTGAGAAATCAGCTGGTTCATCCGGTTCCACGAACGCTTCTGC